GCTAACCTTTCTTGGACATGTAATAGACCAACAAGGATTGTCTCCCTTGGATCACAAGATCAAAGCAATAACAAATTATCCCACACCTTCCACAATGAAGCAATTACGGAGATTCTTAGGAATGATAAACTACTACCGACAATTCATACCGAACTGTGCAACTATAATATTGCCATTAACAGACATGCTATCGCAACGAAAGAAAAAGAACTCGCAAATCGTACTATCGAAAGACGAATTAAAATCTTTTAACGATGCAAAAGACGCGTTGCAAAAATGTACAAAATTGTCGTATATTAATCCATCCGAAAATTCCAAACTAACACTCACGACAGATGCATCGGCTGACACAATTGGAGCAGTACTACACCAGATTACTAACAATGTAGAGAAACCACTATCATTTTTCTCGATAAAGTTAAACACTACCCAGAGGAAATATAGTACGTTCTCAAAGAGAATTATTGGCAGTATACCTAGCAATACGACATTTTAGACACATTCTAGAAGGAAGAAATTTCGTAGTCTTCACCGACCATAAACCACTTACATATGCATTACATGCAAAGGCTGACAAATTAAATCCACGAGACCTAAGACATTTAGATTACATCAGCCAGTACACAGCAGATATCCGATACGTAAAAGGTCAGAATAACACAGTAGCGGACGCATTGTCCAGAACTACGCTCAACGCACTACAATCACAACCACTAAACTTTGACACTCTCGCTGAGGAACAAGCAAACGACAACGAATTACCGTCTGTACAAAAAGATACCTCACTTCAAATTGAAAAAAGACCTTTACCCTTTACTAATGAACTCGTGTATTGTGACGTTTCCACAGGTAATCCTCGACCGTACTTACCTTTGTCACGAAGAAAATCAATTTTCGATCATTTCCATTCGCCAGCTCACCCTGGAGCGAAGGCTACGCTGCGGACCATAGCTGACAGATACGTCTGGCCCGGTATGTCTTCGGACGTGAAACAGTGGTCTCGCACGTGCCAACGTTGCCAGGCAACGAAAATACACCGACATACCAAAGCACCATCGTCGACCTTCGCGACACCAGATGGACGATTTACGCACATACACGCAGACTTAGTCGGTCCACTCGAAAAAATTAATGGACACGAGTACATTCTAACGATCATTGACCGCTTTACGCGATGGCCAGTTGCGATACCACTAACATCAATAACGGCAGAAACAGTGGCTAACGCAATTTTCAACAACTGGATTTCTATATTTGGATGCCCTGCAGTTATCACAACTGACAGAGGTCCCCAATTTCAATCAACGCTATTCAACGAATTTGTCAACATTTTAGGCATAAAACACATCTCTACCACCGCATACCACCCATGCAGCAACGGAATAGTGGAGAGATTCCATAGACAGCTCAAGTACGCATTAACAGCGTCTACCAGTGCTCGTACGTGGGTAGATAAGCTACCATTTGTGATGCTTGCGCTGCGAAATACAATAAAACTGGATCTCAAATGCACCAGTGCAGAATTAGTTTTTGGGAAAGCAACAACGCTGCCTGGACAGATATTTCACAACGAGACGACATCTACACCAACGAATTACTTTGTGGCAGACCTAAAAAAGAAGAAGATGATGGACGTTATATATACACCCACGAGAGCGTATAAAAAACCTTTCTACGTGCCAGCAGATCTACATTCAGCAGAATATGTTTTCCTGAGGCGCGACACTGTACGGAAACCATTAACGCCCAACTACACAGGTCCACACCTGGTAATATCTAAAACACCCAAATTCTTCATAATTGATATCGCCGGTAAACAGAACACCGTCAGTATAGACCGTCTCAAACCAGCATATCTGCAATCCGACGACACAGATCGAACAATAACAAAACCGACGACAACAGAACAAACAGAAACGCAAACAACTACTGATACGACCGAATCAACACAGTCTACCCGTACAAAATCAGGAAGGAATGTTCACTGGCCAACCAAGTACCGAACCTACATTACATATTAATGCTCATTCACCAAGGCATTAATCTGGGGGAGGTATTGTGGACTCTTCTAATTTTCTAACCTTCTCCAACCTTAAAAAAGCATAATCCATATTATACGCCTACGCGCAGATAACGCTCAACCAATAAAAATGCAAAGAATCGAATCAAGCAATTCTATTGGTAGATCGCCTCCCAAAGCAAGAATTGCGCCAAAATATCTTGAGCCACTTTCGAAAACCCAAAAGGTTATAAAAGGAGAAAAGACAACCCCAGTCAGTCAGTCCAGCTCACTTTTTGAGCGACTGCACGGTTCAACTCTCTGTCTCCGGACGGAGAGGAACCCGAAGGAGGCTACGCCGAAGGGCGAAGTCTCCTTCGGGGAGGTTAAACCGGCCCTGAACCCGTTTATACGGGTTCAAATGGGCTATTTTTTGGCTGAGCCTAATGGCTCAGGAATGCCCACATTAAAAAAGGCCTTGTGCCGCATGACACCCTCGTGGGTGGGTGACTGAATATCTCAGTCCAGCTCACTTTTTGAGCGACTGCACGGTTCAACTCTCTGTCTCCGGACGGAGGGAACCCGAAGGAGGCTACGCCGAAGGGCGAAGTCTCCTTCGGGAGGTTAAACTGGCCCTGAACCCGTTTATACGGGTTCAAATGGGCTATTTTTTGGCTGAGCCTAATGGCTCGGGAATGCCCACATTAAAAAAGGCCTTGTGCCGCATGACACCCTCGTGGGTGGGTGACTGAATATCTCAGTCCAGCTCACTTTTTGAGCGACTGCACGGTTCAACTCTCTGTCTCCGGACGGAGAGGAACCCGAAGGAGGCTACGCCGAAGGGCGAAGTCTCCTTCGGGGAGGTTAAAAGGCCCTGAACCCGTTTATAAAATGGGCTATTTTTTTGGCTGAGCCTAATGGCTCTGCCCACATTAAAAAAAGGCCTTGTGCCGCATGACACCCTCGTGGGTGGGTGACTGAATATCTCAGTCTAGCTCACTTTTTGAGCGACTGCACGGTTCAACTCTCTGTCTCCGGAACGCCGAAGGGCGAAGTCTCCTTCGGGAATAACAAAAATAACGAGGACATTAAACCAATTAACGGCCCTGAACCCGTTTATACGGGTTCAAATGGGCTATTTTTTGGCTGAGCCTAATGGCTATATTTGGGAATGCCCACATTAAAAAAAATCCTTGTGCCGCATGACACCCTCGTGGGTGGGTGACTGAATATCTCAGTCTAGCTCACTTTTGAGCGACTGCACGGTTCAACTCTCTGTCTCCGGACGAGAGGAACCCGAAGGAGGCTACGCCGAAGGGCGAAGTCTCCTTTTGGGAGGTTTGGTGCGAACCCGTTTATTCGGGGATTCAAACTGAATATCTCCCGTTTTTCTGAACTGCACGGTTCAACTCTTTGAGTTTTTTAGGAACCCGAACCCTGAAACCCGTTTATACGGGTTCAAATGGGCTATTTTTTGGCTGAGCCTAATGGCTCGGGAATGCCCACATTAAAAAGGCCTTGTGCCGCATGACACCCTCGTGGGTGGGTGACTGAATATCTCAGTCTAGCGAACTCGCCGATCGATTGCCTAATTAATCCACGACATTCAAAAACAGAATTTTACCGCGCATTTTTGACGAACTTCAACTGACTCACCTGAAACACTCAACGAACAACTATCGAAACTTTGAACAATATTTCTTATGCACATTGATTTATTCATTACTAAAAATAAGAAATACGAATCACGAAAACAAACACAGACACGTTCAAAGGTAGACTACTTTAGCAAACTTTACCAAAAAAACTTTATTATATATTTCAACACAAACACAAAATAACAAACATAACGACACAGAGACATCCAACATTTCAGCAACATATACAATTAACGCACGCAACAATACAAATATTAACCTTGTTTGTAAATATGTAATTGTATATAAATGTTTTATTTGTTTCGATCTATAAATGTCTCGTTTTTACTTTGTTTGAAATCTCATGTTTGTTATATATTTGTTTGGGACAAGGTGAAAAGAAGAAAAATTAACATTAACAGTTTTATTAAAACATTTGTAGGTTCTGTTTTTTTTTTGTTTTTTTTGCGTCTCATCCTGTATTAATGAGTATTAATTAGACTCCTGAGGTTCTATCAGCTTGTTTGATGAAATTGTAGGATAAGTAGTGTTTTATATTGGGAGTGTCTTCTTTCAGGTGAGTTTCTCGTAAACATATAATTGCTGAGTTAAAGGTCAAGATGAGAATAATTCGTTGATATTAGATTTGGTATCTCTTATGTTCCATTGTATTATTTTGTTTGTCATTGTGTTTATATTTTGCTTAGTTGTATGTAAATACGATTATGTGTCAATTGAATATTTTATTTATTTGATATTTAACCTATTTTTTGTTTCATGAGTGTTTTTGGCTTGTGTTTGTTGATTTTTTTTTGTATTCTTGTATTTTATTTGGGGGATTTTTCCTCGATTTTTTGTGGAATTTTCTTCGGTATTAGTTGGCGCGCGCATTGGAGATATTTGTAACCTTTGTTTTATTAAATTATTTTTCTTCGGTGTCTTTTTGATAACCTGCGGGGAGGCTCCAGGTTGTATTGTTATTTTGGCATTAGTTTCGTTATATATCATTGCATTCTACGTATAATTAATACATTTTTTTAATTATATTGTCTAGAATTTATAATTTTTTTTCAGGTTTTGTTATTTTTTTTTAAACCAAAATGATAATCTCAAGTCTTATGGTTGTATTCCTTTGTATTTTTCATACACGGGATGAACGCATTTTAACTTTCCTAGCTCTCTGGTCATTTTATGATATGCTACAAGAAGTGCGTCATACTGTATGATTCACAAATCATTTAAAAAATATAGCTGTTTTTCGTGATGTTTCTATTTTTATTACATTCCTAGGCAGTGAAAGTAGCGTGTGTTGCCAGCGTCCGAGTCAAGCCCGTTAACACTTTTTTTCTATCAGTGCAGGACTTACAACCATATCACGTTGAAACATTGGTTCTCGTCCGATCACCGAATTTAAGCAATGTCGAACCTCGTCAGTACCTAGATAGGTGACTGCTTAGGAATACCAGGTGCTGTAAATTTGGATGTGCGGGTGGTGTAATGAATAACAGCTCGAAATGAGAAATCGGTGAGCCGATTTCGAATGCCAGTTGGGTAATTTATATTTACGTACGCGCAAATACCCTTGTTAAACGTATGAATCTACCTCTTCCCCCAATTATAGGTTAAGTAGTAGGACTTGTATCTGAAAAACACTATTATCACCAAAAAATCAATACAGTATTCACTTGGAAAAAGAGAAAAAAATTATTCTTACAATCCAAAAAATATGTTTCGGCTTTAAATAACCTACAAAATATTAATAAGCCGTGAAACATCAATCAATCAATTTACCAGTCCAGTACTGGCCCCAGCTAAGCATATTTGAAGAAACTGCTGATATAATTATAAAAATATTTAATGAATGTTAGTATACTCAAAACCCTGTTTTTAATTTATGCAATTTTTTCATTAGCATTCTCGAAATCTACTTTTGAATCTCTCACAATTGACATTATTGGCAGTTTATTCGATTTTGGCTCATCGTAAATCTCTGGTACGTTTTGATTAATTGAAGTTTTAAGAGACTTCTTTCACAACTGGCGGTTAAAACAGTGATATTTCTTTTATTTTTTTCGTTTATTATTACTAATTCATTTAATTTTTACCTTTTGAAATATCGTTCCCATAAAAATGTTACGACCGAGGCTACTGTTCCAGTGGCCCCACCCACGCTACATCACTGATTTGAGACAAGACGAAAGATACAAACCCACATCATAATCCTAAACTATAATATAAATTAGAGTTGAAATATTAAATTATATTTGTTTAACTTCAGGAAATCAGTTGCGAATATTGCCTATTGTTCATGAGCCGGGATCTACCTATGTTTAAATAAGCTTCTCTTTAAAAGATTTGGTTCTGAATAGAGTTCAAACAACATAACAGAGGGTCAAAAGTAAATAATAATAAATAAATAAATAAATAAATAAATAAAATAATGTCGCTTCTATATTATCATGATCAACATGTAGATTTTTGCTATTACTGTTTAGGGGTATTTTGTGATGCTCAAACAAGAGAGAATAAATATATCAAAAATTACTAACAAGTAACAACATATTTTATTGCATTGTGGCAGGGGCGATATCACCCCTGAAATAATAATAATGATAATAAGGGAGGATATGCTATGAAGCCAGGTGAGGAAGAGGCGTTTTCAAGTGGCCAAGATGTTGATATGCTATAAAGACTTTGAAATGTAAATGTTACAGAAAGTTAATTTAGGACACGAAATACAATCTTTTTGTAAGTGTACAAAGGATATCAGATTACTAATAGAAAATTACTAGAACAATGATAATTTGGATGTTTTAAAAAAAGAAATGGATTTTGACACTATAAGAATCGAAGTTAAAATAAGGGATGTTTTGATCTAGAATTTATTTTTGAAACAAAATTCTCTGTAGTTTACAAAAGCGGCAGAGTGGTTGATAGCGAGGTGATAACAATGGTGTCTTGTTGTGAACCTTGTAAACCAATCAATGAAAAAGTAAATTGTTTATTCTCGGAGGAGGGAAGCTGTACTTTAGTAATATGTCAGTACGTTCGCACTAGAAAAACAGACATGTCACCAGTCTGGGACACGGAGGCCGGTTCTCTTAATAAAGAGGCGAGCTAACCGGAAGAGAAAGAGTTTTGGGTTCGTCTGTCTTCGAATGCACACGAACTGAGCGGAGAGACGTCAGAGATTGAAAAGAAAGCGTCCGCTGTGTGTTGCTGAAGCTGAGGGCGAAGAAGTGAAATACCGTCGCTAACATCTAAGTACCACTACTGCTGATACTACTAATAGTATTACTTCTATTACTACTACTGAGAACGGGAACATCGAAGGTTGTAATAGCTGTGCTAAGAACAGACCAAAAAGGGTTAAAACGAAGGTCACATCTCTCCTTACCGAAATTATTCGAAGTATGTGTTTGTTCACATGCAAAAAACGTTCAACCTTGTACAACAAGAATTATTTTTTAGTGTGTTTGGTTTTATATATAAAAAAAAACTTTTGTCCTATCAAAATCGTATCGAGTTGGTTATATTTATTTTTCTGTTAACCTAATTCTCACCCGACGAACTCGCAGGTGAACCAACGGGGAGTTTCCAGATTTCTACGATCTGATGACCACTCTCCAGGATCAAAAAATCACAACGTGGCTGGAGGGTGGCTTCGAATTGACATTGGGAATCTGAGACTTGTGTCTAACCCGTAATACTGGACTATACTGGACCAACGGCCGGTCTTGTGGAGTGCTTGAGTCCAGTGGAGTGAGGATACAGTGTTACAAATGGTTGCCGTGACCAGGATTCAACCCAAGAGATATCCGGAGGACATTAAAAGAAAGGAAAGGAGTTACAATTGACGCCGCGGTCAAAGATTATATCCAAGAATTACCTAGAAAACATTGGAATCGAAAGATTATATTGATCTGATAATTACAGGAACAACAAAACAGCAGCAGAAGCACACCCCAGGTAGGTTTCCCTCGATTAATTTTTTTTTTCGCTTAATTGTGGCACACGAAAACAGCTAATAAGGATTTTGTGTCACCCTCGTCCTTCAAATTTACCTATTAATTGAGGAACATCGCCAGAATAGATAAGATAAGTATCGCTGAGTTAGACAGTACGGCTGTTCACACCTTTCTTCGTCAAGCTTGCGGGGTCGACATCCTTATCGGCCCCGCAACAGTTTTACGAAACGGACATTTCTTCAGACTACTACCAATATCCGCCTTATTAACGCCGAATACCAAAGTACTCACTCCTCGCTCGAAAAAAAAATAAATAAAAATATATTATTTATTTTAAACTCTTGTTTCAATTCGTTTTATTCCCAAAATTTCCAATAAAATAATTATCCTATCACCTATCCACACTAGCAAAGTTCTGATGCAAGCACCACTTGCTACATAATCTAATCTGTAATTGTTCGATATCGAAAGAAACATGTATAAAAATCTTAAATAAATATAATCAATGTGTTCAACTATTTATAGGTTATTGAAATTTAGGTACATTTATATAATCGCAATATTCAAATTTACTGATTATATTATTGGGCACACATAATGATTTTTTTTATTAATGATATAGAATATTTTTTCTATGCTTTAAAATGCTTTAAAAGTTAATTTCCAGTACTAGAGATTCATTTTGATTTTTGTTTCTGGTAACTCGTCTATGCATTTTAATTCTTTAAAAAGAATGGTTATTGCTATGTAAAATAGAACCAGCGAGACAAGTTCAAGCTCCCAACTAGCGTGTTTCATTCACTTTCGCACAAATACTCTTGGGAAAGGTGTGTATACATCTCTTCTGCCCACTACTGATTTGCTAAAAAGCAGGGTAGACCGGTCTATTCTAAATTAAAAAAAGGTGGAGGAATCACAGAGAAACCTCTCTACTCTCTTCCTCAGGAAGAGAGTAGAGAGGTTTCTCATGAAATTCACAAATAATACCTCGCTACTAGCAAGTGAGCTTCTTGATTCTGTATGACGACAGAATACAGTAGCCATTGCTAACACAGTTTTAATTTCTTTTAAACTGTTTAGTTGAAATTTTTATTTGATTTAATGGATTTACCCGCTCCTTTCATCTCGTCCTCAGTCACTTTCTCATTGACGTGGCGTAACTTCCCTCTGTTTTTTCCAGAAATATTTTCATGACAACTGCTCTGATTAGGTTTTTTCGCTGCGTTGGTGTCCCAAATGCACTAAATTAAGCGTGCTACTTTATTGGCATCTAGGTCCTACCCTTTCACTGTTGAAATAGCTAAATGATACCACAACTTCTACGCCAACAGTTTCTTTTCTCGCACTTGTCACCTGTGCAACTCTGTTCCGTTCCCTTTCCTCTCTAATAACTACAATCTTCAAAAATGTAAATGCAACGTCAATCACCATCTTCTGTCTTCTTGATCTCCGTTCATCAATTGTCCTTTCCCCAATCCTCACTATTCTCAGTTTTCTCTTTCACTTTCACTCCCTGTAAACCCCTGCGTACGAGTGGCATTAACGCCTAGCTTGGGGTGAAGTGATTATAGGGTTCTCTATTAGGTCACGTAAATAAGCAGCATATCACGATTAAAAAAAGGCTCATAAATCAACGAAAACAAAGTTTTGTCTCAATATGTTGTTATTAATTGAAAGCTATAAGCATTAAATTTATTATTTACAGTAAGTAACATATTCTGGTGTCTTTCAGATAGAAATTATATAGATTGGAATGTCAAATATATGCTCGATTTTTGTTTAATTTTCTTAAAAGCGGCCATTTTCTTAAATTTTAAGAAATTTGTAAACAAACAAAATTTTGATTTTAAACTTCTTCCTAAAATAAATTTATATATTTTTGACACGTTATTTGAGTAAAATTAGAAAATTTAAAGTTAAATTAATCTGATATGAAACAAACAGTACTTACTTATAGCATAAAAATTTGTATCCAAACATTTCTTAACGATGTGTCTGAATTTATCAAAGAAATCGATTGTGACGAGGTGATGACAGATTACTATTGATGATCAAAATTGACAATTTTTGCAAAGTAAGCGAACGCGGTTTTTCGTTTTTAACTAGTACTTTTAAATATTAACATTTTTATTCAGCAATTATGTAATATCTATTTTTATTTCATACTTTCTTAATTAGATAATAGTTTAAAAGTTTTTTTTTATTAATTAGATAATTGTTTAAAATTTTTTTAAGAATTATGTCATATATACATTTCCATACGTAGAAATTATGAACGTTTTTTTTTTGCTGTAAAAATTTTTTTTTTTTATTATTTTAAAAATATTTTGGGGTCAAACGACTGTTATGTGCTTTTCAAATTTCGATTCGTAAATTTACTTTTTCATTAACGTTATCATTGCATTACGTGCTTGAAAGCAATAAAGAATTTTAAACGATTTTTGAAGTATTAAGAAGTTAATGAAAAAAATTTTAAAAATGGGAAAAAAATTTGTAAAAAATAGAT